ATGTCAGCTCCAGGATTTCAGAGATAGCTCGAGCTAAGATGCTGAAAACCTTCAGGTTGTTTCAGCAACCTGAGCTGTTGGGCTTTAATTAGACTGAAAAACCCTGTTATATGTGTTTTGATTAGTTTTAAGGATATCAAAAGATATGTATGGGCCATGGTTTTGGTTTCATTTGTTAAACACCACAAAGGAAAGAGAAGTGCTTGTGCGAGCTGCCCAGCGCTCCAATGATAATTCCAAACTCATCAAAATGCAGCCCTTGACCCAGACAAACAGTAACTATTGCTTTGATGCCTGGATTGCCCTTTTTCCATTTTACTGCTTGTAAATACAGAAAAACCTTCCAGAAGAGTTTTTACAAGGAGATGAGTTCTTTTCACTTAAGACAGCTTTCCTGCCTGGAAAAAGGTATCTTTCCCAGAGACAGTTTTAGATGTTTTCTCCTCCTGAATTCCAGAGGAGCTGACACAAGAGAAGGTAAGTTCTTGCAGGCATGTTTGAAGGCCCCGAAGCAGGAGGGCTGGGGATGATAAAAGCCCTAAGAACAGAAGGCATGTCTTTCTTAGGTCCAGTGCAGCTCTTGTACAAGGATATTAAGTGTTCTCAACTTTTGAAAATAAATTCACCAAAATCTTCCCACTGCCTGATATTTTGGGGGTACCCGTGTGCATATAACCTTTACACTGCTGTCATTTTCCTCACACAGACCACAGAACAGTTTAACTGATAAAAAGCCATTATGATATGTCTCTTACTTAATTTTTAAATTACGGTTTTGATATTCAAGTTTAGTAAAAATCAGATTTAAAAGAGAAGAAAGCAGGCAGCCTGAGGCCATGCTGTTTATTCACAAGAACATTGTTTTTCTTTATGAAGAAAGTTGTACAACTCAGTATTAATAACTATTACTTCAGCCCATGGCAAAAACTGTACTGTAATGGGTTATTCTGGATTTTTGTTACACGCTAAGGAGAGCAGTGTGCTGCTGGAAGTGGGCTGGGCTTTGATAACCAAAGCTGCCTACCCTCCTGAGCATCACATGGCACAGGTGAAAAATACTGCCTTTTTTTGGGGGGGGGGAATTTTCCAGATGGGATTTAAAAGGAAAACAAAACAAAAACCAAGAAACATACATACAAACAACAACAAAAAAAAAAACCCAAAACAGTAAAGAACTTGGAATAAAACTTGGAAAGAGGATAGGGAGTGCCTGAGCTCAGCATTTTGTGGCACAGGCAGAGGAGGAAGGAGGCAGATGCTCCACCAGCCTGAGCTGGAGATGAAACGCGCACTGGGTGACCTGAGAAGTGTCTCAGGAGATGCACCATCCACGGGTGAGACCACAGTGAGATTTAAACAGAGCAAGACCTATCAGAAGGCTGTCTGATCCTCCAGGAGGGCCCAGCCTGCTCTGCTTTCCATCAGTATTTTGAAACCACACTTAAGTATTCAAACTAGAATTCGACTATATTCAGTGAAGGACCATTGCTTTTATTGTAGCATAACACTGTTTTCTGCTTGAAGAGAAATCCAATACAAAATCCCAAAGGCTTTTGATTGCTACTGAAAGTGATGTTTTTCAGGAATTAATCCTTCCTATCCACAAACATACATGAACAGGTATTGGGGAAGCCCAAGGGCATATCCTAGACAAGACACCAGTATTTGGGTATTAGAGTATTTGAGAACAAAAGGTTCATATTGCCCAAAGCCCAGCTTGTCAGCATTTTCTTTGTAGCTATTCCTGGTTTGCTTCTGGCTTTTCCTTTAAGAAGTAACTTTGCAAAAATTGGTACTTTGGCACAGTACCTATTAGACAGCTCCCATCTGCTGGCCCAATTTATATCCACTGAATCTGCCAACAAAATCAAGTTTTTATTGCTAGCCACATTGCAAAGCTTATAAAGCTGTGGGGAAATGGGCTACACTCAGTTTCTCCTTATATTTAGTCAACCAAAAAGTTTGTGCCGACACTAATCCCCACCAGCAACGGGCACATCCAGGGCAGCAATGACATCCGGGGCAGGAGGCCCCTTCAGATACACTACACAATACACAGGTGGATTTATTTTCTCAGCTCAAGGTCAAAGTAAGTGTAGAATCGGCCAGAGGAAAATGTGTATATACAGCAGGTATTTTACACTTCATATTCTAGATGAAATTTACCCTCAAATCATGTGCTGACTTCAATCACAAATTACACTAAGTTACTTTTAGAGGAAGTCTACATTTGGGGATGGCAAGAAGGATGAAAAGTACAAGCAAAGACAGCAGAGCAGTAACAGGAGATGAAATGTCTGATATTAATGGCTCTCTAACAACCCCATTGTTGAGGAAACATCCCTGTCTGACCATCCAGGAGCAGCTCTGGCAGTCACTCTCACACCACCTGAGCTGGAACCGAGGCCCCTTTGCAGCTGCTCCCCCCACACTCACACAGTCAGACCAGGTTTCCTCACCACCTCCACCCCAGGTTTCCCAGAGCAGAGTCTCAGATGTCCATATCCTTAAGATAATTTAATAATGATGCAATAACTAAATAACAAAATAACAGCTCAAGCTGGTTCCTCCAAGGAGGGACCCGGAACAAAGGAACCCCTGGGCTTTTATCCCCTCACAGTCTAAGCATTGGAAAAGTCTGGGGGTTGTCGGCTCCTGCTACTTGCACTGAATGGATTCTTTAACACCCATTCCCATTCTACAGCCCCAGTCTTTTATTGCCTCCACTGCCCAAAAGAGGCACTCGTCTCCCTCAAAACGAGCCAAGGTTGAGGAAGCCAGGACGGCAGAAAATTAGTAATTTATGTATCAGATGGGATTCCAGTGAAACACACCTCCCCATATGGCATATTTTTTTTTGTCTGAGGCAGTTCTCAGCCACATCAGCTGCCCTGACACGTTTCACTGTGCAGCTATTCAAACATGCATGTGTGCATAAGGAAGGGGACAGCAGAGAGACAGGGTTACCCCCTGACAACAGGGTGACCCCAGCTGGGTGACACCCCGCCGACAAGTGATGGGAAACGGCAACGAAGGAGCACGATTCCTCTGTCGTAACGAGGGAAGAAAGGGACCCTCAATATGAGAATCAGCAAGCTTCGTTTATTGATCATTGCTAACAGCTTAATATATGCTTTATAATTAGTTCATACATATTGCAAAGGCTAAGCTCATTATTGGCTCTGCTTAAACGTTGATCTCATCCTTTACTCCTTAACATCGTTGACACTTAGATGTTAATTCTGTCTCTCACTCCCTTCCTTTGTTGACACAGGTGGTTCTCAGTTGCTTTTTGTTTTGCTAATCACAACGACCTGTTTACCAGCCAACTAGCAGGCACAAAGACACTGTAGCTCTGCTATCTCAGATTTTCTCACGGCCTAGGCAAGCCGTGTTCTATAGCCAATTCCCTACATTCCTCCTTCACTTTAAACCAAGGAAATGGGGATTTTTCTTTTTTAGAAGATTCTTCAATATATAACACTACTCATTTCTTAATTCTAAAACTCAAAGCTAGATCCTCACGAAACTGTGCTTTTGGCCAGTTACAGCCTCACCCCCAGTTTTCCATATTTCCTCAATTCCGGAGCATGAGAAGGAAGGCTGTGCAGAGCCATGGGACAGTACTTAAGACTACTGAACACATTTAGAAAGCTTTTGGTATACGAGCAAGACAACACATTCAAAACCAAAAAAAAACCCCAAAAACTCAACAAACACCACCCCACCCCTCCAAACCAACTTACGATGAAGCAGTAAGGCAATTCCTGCAGGCTTTCAGAATTCAGGACCTGATGGTGGATGCAAAACAGCTTGTAATCAACAACATACACAGCCTCTAGTGGCCCTGTTAAATGTTTTCCAGGATAAATTTAAAGGATTATGGGAATTTTAGATACAGATGCCCTGCATAGAGAATTTAATTCATTTACTCAAAACTTTATGTAAAATATGAGTGCTATGCTCTATACCCCAAAGTAAATGCAGGCATAGTGCTTAAGTACCCCTTATCTGAAAATAACTATTAATTGTCACCAAACATTCCAATGCAATTACAACCATGATGCCCATCAGTTGTTTAATTTCATTTTCACTCACAGCTGCGAAGCAACAAATGAAAGGACAAGGAGAAAAATCAAGTCAGCCCCAAAACCCTTAAGCTGCAGTTTTCACGACTTTCAATCAAACATTAAAGAGAACCTGCAGGTTTGATCCTTCTGGAGGAAAACTGCCATTTTCTACGTGTTCATTGAGCCCTGACTTGTCTCAAATTTATGATTATTTTTCCCTGTGTCCCAATTAGAGGGATGGCTTTGTCTTCTCCAATACTCTTTTCATTCAGAGAAGTACCTCCTACAAGGAGAGAGGGGTTTTGTTCAAAAAACAAGTTATGTACTGGGGGCTTTATGGTGTACAGATTTTTTTTTTTAATTTTATAGAGATGACTCTTGTATACAAGCAGGTATTCCCAACAAAAAATGGCAATGGATGCTGTCACAAAAATATGATGGTAAAGCAAACCTGGGAAATCCAATGGAAATACCCATTATAGAGTGCACAAAAAAGAGGAGAAAGACAGAGAGAGAGAAAGAGAAAGAGAGAAAGAGAAAGAAAGAGAGAAAGAGAGAGAGAAAGAGAGAGAAAGAGAGAAAGAGAGAAAGAGAGAAAGAGAGAGAGAAAGAGAGAAAGAGAGAAAGAGAGAGAAAGAGAGAAAGAGAAAGAAAGAGAGAAAGAGAGAAAGAGAGAAAGAGAGAAAGAGAGAGAGAAAGAGAGAAAGAGAGAAAGAGAGAAAGAGAGAAAGAGAGAAAGAGAGAGAAAGAGAGAAAGAGAGAGAGAGAGAGAGAAAGAGAGAGAGAAAAAGAGAAAAGAGAAAAAGAGAAAAAGAGAAAAAGAGGGAGAGAAAGAGGGACAGAAAGAGGGAGAGAGGGTGCATGTATATTCAGGAAAGCTTTTTCTCAACAATCTTCCTGTATTAAAAAGAAACCAATTATACTTGCAAGTCACTTGCAGAAAATTTTAATAATTTGCCAAATATACAGCTATTAGAATGACCCCAAATATCACTTCTTAAGTTACAAAAGTTGGTAGATAGCATAGTACAATGTTCTATAAAATAAACACAGGTAATACTAACAATACCTCCTATGGTCCAAGAATGGCAGAAAACAGCAAATGAAATTACAAACATATACAGATTAGAGAAGATTGAGGGTGGCTTTAGACACTTGAATCAAAGAAACTGAGACCAGACTAGACTAGATACATTCATCCATCAAGCATGTAGAATTTTAAGAGTTTAAAAACAATTAACAACACAGCATCAGGTGCAGTTTCACATGCTTTCATCTACTTTCCAGTACAGTTCCCAGAGGATTAAAGTGCCTTTGTGCACTCTAGTTTCATTTAGAATCAGATGTGACACACATTGTATTTGGAAGCTACTTCATAGGTCACTTTCTAAAAAAAAAATAAAGTAACTGAACCAATGTCCAGAATTCAAACTAAGGCGGTTTTGAAATACCTTTGTTCTGACCATCTGCTACTAAATATCATGTAACAAACTCCAAATCCACAGGGCCCACATCCACTAAATGAGACCAGAGTAAAAGATACTTACTCAAACATGTTTTCTGCTGTACAACCTTTAGCTTTGTTAATTTTCCCCTTTCAAACACATTTGCCCTCTGGATGATAATCTTCTTCTGCAGCATCCATTGCACACTGCTGTGAACGTGAAGGATAGGCAGGATTTGGCCTGTGGCTATGGAGATGAAAGCACTTGCCAGATCACATCCTACTGTAACCCAAGCAATATGCACAGCATATCCTCCCTGCAAGACACCTGCTCAGTCCTCCTTAGGAACTCTCCCCATTCCCCGCTCCAAAGCTCAACACTACCTGCAGGAAGGGAAGGAAAACTCCATGCAGTTCCACTGTCACTCACCTTGCCCTCAAAATGTCCTCTTCAAACCCCAGGTAAAGATGTTTCGAAGCATCCCCACCAGCATCCACTCCCACCTCCCACTGTCATCTCCCACCAGCACCCACTCCTCCTCTTTCAGAGGAGTGGGCATTCACGCAGTATCTGAGGCATTTCAACGGTGTTTTGAAATATCGGCACTTTAAGAGCAGTTATGGGGCACAAGCTCTTCAGGAAATAAGAATTTCCATTAAAATATTCCACCCTGATGCTACAGAAGGTAGAAGGGCAAGGGCAAAGAAGGCACTCAGGAGGAAAGCTCACTTGAGGAAAAAAAAAAAAAAAACCAGAAGAAATGAGGAGGGATGAACAGGTATTCATAACTTTAAACAGCAGATGTGGATGCTTCCTACATTTGACAGTTCTTCACATCATGAAGAGAGCAAGTAATTCCAATGATTTTAGGTTCAGGCTGTCAACACCCCTGCACACCTGACATGGCCAGCGTAGGTGATGCCTTCCCTTCACCGCTGCTGCTGTTACACCTGAAAAGGCCCATTTTAAACTCTGCACAATCAGGAGCTCTATGCAGGGGAGGAAGTTTTACAGGGTCTCTAGGTGTGTAACATATTAACATTACTTAAAATATCATGTGCACTGAAATATTTCAAGAACATATGCACTCTGTTAATCAAATTACTGGAAATTAGTGATTTCCTAATCTACTGAGTACTTTAAAAGTTCTCCATAAAATTGTGAGGTTGTGGAAAAGAACGCTGGCTATGCATTACAGTAGGAAAAAAACCAGTACAAGTTTCATGAGAATCACAACTACAAGCAAAGTCTCCAGTTTAGTTCATAAAACAAATTGATTAAAATATTTTAAACATTTCATAGCGATATAATAAATTCCAATGTAATTTCTGCAACAAATTTCACCCAAATCCAAAAATACCATATATGTATATACTTTTTTATAAAACTTTATACAAATCAAGCTCTCCTTAAGTAAGCCTATACACACTTCTCATGTCACCTAGGTAGAAAGGCTTCAAAAGCATATATTCTCAGAGTCCAAGAGTGACAATGCTGCATGAGTCTTCCCTTTTGACAGTCAGCTTTGCCAAACCCAAGTCTTATTGCTTAAAATCAAATGACAGGTTTCCTCAGCATCCCCAGCACCCAGCTACACCACACCAGTCTAGGGCAGGGACCAACCCTCCATTTTATGGGACAGAAATACCTACAAGCCTTGTTACCATTCCCATGAAGATTTCCACAGAACAGTTGCCTGTCCTGTACACTTCAGCCAGAGAACAAAAGGGAGATTGATGGCAGTATACCAGCTCAGTGACCAGTGTCTCCCTCTTCATCTTCTGATTAATTCCATATTCTGTTGAATGATTTCTGTGAATACATCTCCAACTGTAACTGAAAACAATCGGATCAGATACAAGACACCAGAGCCACCAAGTCTAAAATGTGCAACAACAATGTCAATATAAGGGCTTTGCAGGCTTAAGACTCACAGCTGGTACTATGCTCCAACACCTCTACTGTAAGCTTTATTTACAGAACTTCCAACAAAAAAATACTATTGTCTCTCAAGCTACATTTTAAATTAACAGAAATACATTCATAATAACTACCGGTACAAACACCATGATAAAATTATTTTTTTATTCAAAATATTCTGACAGGTTGACAATATTCCAGGTGCATTACAAACACTGCCATAGCCAACAAAACAATCCATAATTAAAGAGCATTCAAACACTGAGGAAGTATATCTTAAAGCAGAGACAGGACAGTGCGTGATACCAAGAGCATACAGATAATTTTCTAATAACTGACTTCTTTGAGGCAAATGTCTGATTTCTCTGGCACAAAATGGATTAAAATCCAGAAGAGATGAATTACTGAGGACAAAAATTATGATGTTGCCCATATTTTCTATAAAACCTTGTAAATTTATCATACAAGGCCACTTAAGCCTGGAGTACTCTAGTGTTATGGAACAGAACAACGAAATCATAACAGAGAAATCAGCGTCAAAGCAAACAAACCCACAAACTCTTTCTAGAATATGGCTTAAATTAATTCACAGAGATTTGGAAATACACTATAACTATATGGTGCAAGAGAAATACCAGGTAGAAAAAAAAAAGTCCCTTTCTTTCTTGTACTTTCCCCTCAGCCTTCACCATAATTCACATGAAATTGTCAACAAAATGATACTGCCCCTCCTCTGCACACCTCAAAAACAGCACCTTGTAGAGGTGGGACTCTGTGCTGGTGGTGGGGGAGAGATGCCAAGCTGGGGGGGCTGAGATTTAGAGTGGAGTTCCAGGGAGGGTAATAAAAGCCAGTCAGCGTTAACGGCCAAGGCTGAACACTGGGGTCCTCAGCTCCAGAGCCCAGCCTGCCCTTGGCCCCTTGTGCTTGGGGATGGATCACAGTGCCCCCCTGCCCCTGAGTGTCACCTCGGGGATGGCCACGTGCCACGGGCGGGCAGCGTGCCCAGCAGCTCCTGCGCGACTGGGAATCCTGCGCGACTGGGAATCCTGCTTCTTGTTGCAGAGCACTGCAGGCACAAATTGGCTGCAGAGAACCTGGTCTCTGCAACAGAAGCTGGTGGATGGAGAGGAGTTGGCTCTGGCCAAGGTAACTGTGTGGCATGCTTTAGTCCTGGCTGGCACCAATGTGGGGTCAGTGACACTTTACCTGCCTTGCTCAGGTGGCTGTGCTGCTCCTGTATCACACCTCTATGAGCTGCAAGAGCCCTGGTGACTGGAATGAGTTTGACTACAAGACCCTGGTAATCCCTCTGGGGTTCCCTCCCTTGGGGTGCAGCAGGAGCAGCGGTGGCTTTCAGGGGGTGCTCTGAGACCTGCCCTCCTATTCTGGGTCCCCTTAAAAGACAGTGTGGAGTGGGTACTGCAGTGCTCACCGGTGTTTTTGGTCTGTCAAAGGCTTGTGGCAGCGAGTGTGGGCACCAGCATGGGTAGGCAAGGGAGCTGCCTGCTGCCCCAAGTCTGCTGTGGTTGCTTCCTGTGAGCTGCAGCAGAGCTGCTGACCCCATGGCTCCTCTGACACAGGCTGAGCTGGCATCAATCCTCAAATTTGTGCTAGACAATGAGGAGAGCCTGAATGAGAACCTAGAGCCATTTCTGCTGACGAAAGGTGAGTGCTGGGCCCTGGCTGCCCATGCTGTGGCATGCACAGGCCAAGCCTTGTGCAGGCAGGGTGGGCATTGTGTGTTTTTCTTCTCACTGGCACCTGGCACACCGGCATCTTACGAGCAGCAGGTGTCTGCTGTGGTGATGTCCAAGTGGCAGCTTGAAGTGGGACAAAACCAGGCCATAACCTTTCAGATATTGCAGTGCTGGCATATTCCTGTACAGCTCCCACACTTCAAAAACATTGTTACTAATAGTTGGTTTCATTCTTGAACGCTCTGGCCAAAATGAGCTCTGAAGTTAAAACAATGTAGTTCTACACACAGTAATACCCTGTTTCTTCAATCAACCCAAGTTCTCAGATAAAATTTCAGCTTTATTTAAAACAGCATATCTGCTTGAAAAACTATGTGTTTCTTTCTCATATAGATCACAGGTGTGAAATGAAGAACTTGCCGAGACATGTACACAGCTGAGTGCACACTGCAGAACGTTGTACAGAGAGAGCAGCAAGGTCACAGGGTCACGGTAAGCCCACGTGGAAAAGACATACGTTTCCAAGGACCATTCTAAAACATTTTCATCCCGGGGCTTTGCTTTAAGCATTAAAATCTTGCTCTACAGATGGCAAGGCTCGGCCGTTTCCACTTTTCAAACGGCTCACTGTATACACACGGCAGCACAGCATACGGAAGAGACACAACCAAAAATGCTTTGGATACATCATCCTGACCTCAAGTATTCCATAAAACAGCTCGATTTTTTTTTTCCCATGAAGAAGAAAGAAACGGGACAACTTTCAAATCGCGCAGCTTGCCTGTGTGTCATTAGAAGAAACCAGTGGCAGCTGTAGCCCAGGGTGGGAGAGCCCCAGCTCCACTAGCACAAGTGGTGGCACAGCTGGTGGCTCAGCTGGTGGCTCCAGGGCCCAACGATCTCCACAGGAGAGTCCTTTGCCTGTACTGCTCATGGCTCCAATCCGTGCTCCCCAGCAGCAGAGGCGTGAAATGCCTGTTGCAAAAACGCAAGCGGCCGGTGGCCAGCAGAGATCTCTGTAGGCTTACTGAGAACGCTCTGTTCCTCTACTCCATTAGTTTGCTTTTTGAAGCAATGTTTTTGGAGAAGGGCCATGAGAACAACAGAGTGAGGCATTTCCCTTAATCACAGCATCAGACACTCCGTTAACAGACTGACTTAATCTTCTAAACCAAATTACTTGCTGGAACATTTTGCATTTGCATACTTTTGCTCTCTCTTAGGAACTAGCAGTTTCTCTAGAAATTGTGCAGTTTAAGCCTGTTATGGTATTTTACTCCAGCATTTTCTTAGCACCTCAACACAAATTACGTGGTTGATCATCAGTGGTGAACATTGGCTACAGACACCCACAGTGGGGGAAGAAAAGGCCCCCGTGAGAGCTGAAAGAACAGCAATATCTTCCCGTGACACGGAAAAGCACTTTTCGATGCTTCAAGCAAGACTGCTGACTCAGCATGGGATTTCTCTCCAAGCAGGGTTACTCCAGTTATTCAAATACAGTAAACACAAAGGCAGTGCTGAGGACATCGATCCTGCACCTACCTTACAGCTTTCAGTCTATTTTCTAAACATTTGTTAATGGAGATGCGGCTCAGTGTCAAGGCTAAGTGGGCAAATGTCATCTATGCTAAAGTCATTATAGGAACTAACATAACCCTTGCTTCTGGTTGTCCTTGGATTTAAGACAACCACATACACTTCATTCTATTCATTTACCTATCCTGCTTTATATCTCAAGTATCTTCATCCTTTCACACTCCCTAATTAACTATCAATTATTTTCCTGAGTGAAATTATAAAAAGTTAAACCCTTCTACCAAAAGTACAAAGACAAATAAAATATAGAACAATACAAACCCAGTATACAGCATTACAAGTGCAGAAATTCTTCATGTTGTTGCTCTTTTATCATTGGCCCCGATAAAAAACATAGCAAAGAATTTAGTTATCCAAAATACTTTGAAGTACTGTGATTAGATTTTTCAGACCATAAATGTAGCCCTCATCCTTTGCGTTGCTAGGAAACACGTGAGCAAAATCGATCATTCGGACTTCAACGTTTGCACTTTCCTTGGTCTCTGCTGGCATGTGATAGAAAACTTTTTCCAGTTGGGGTAGAACGTTTCCGTTCAGGTGCTCCTGTGCAATGCACGTGCTGCTTTTCCACACGTTGTCTTGCTCCAAGTTTTCAACCTTTAGTGAGAGCTGACTGTGGTGCCTCTTCGAGCATGACTTTTTGTGAAGTGCATAAAATTTGGACAAGCCTTTACTTACAGAGGCTTCAATTTTTCCATTCTCTGTAGAATTTATAACGTGAATATTATTATTACACTCCAAAACATCTCCACCTGATAACAGGCCTTTGGGCATTCCTCTCTTCTCCACCAAGGTGACATCACTCAACCGCACAGTTGTTGCCTGACACGAACCTTCATAGACAAAAAGCAACGAGCTTGCATAAAAGTTGAGTTGCGTCTGGCCCTCAAACCACTCCAAAATCTTTTCAATCTTCTGAATGCTGGCAGCTACCACGTCTTTTCTCAAGCAGTACCCACTGTGGAAAAACTTTGAGATGCCTGCAAGAAATAAGATACATTTTGGGATTGTTTTCACCTCCGAAAGGAAAACAAACAATCTTCACAGTTCTTATTTGAAGGAACAGACAGCACTCAGGTAGTTTCCTTTCAGGCAATTATTAACTAAACCTAAAGTGGACCAAGGAATTCTGATACCGTCAGTCACCTCACCTGCTGTATACTATTACTTACAATCTAAGCCCAAGCAGTAGAACTAAATGTATCAAGCAAACAGTAAAAGAACGTGGTTCCTGCTCCCCAGGTAATTTAGTAAGTGCCTGGACAGTTTTGGGCAAATGTTAAATCCATTAAATTTTCCACAGATAAACAAGTCTCAAGCAGCTTGTTATCATGAGTGTGTTGGTGTGTGCACCCTTCTGTCCTTTGCTGGGGGACAGATAAACAGGTGTCAAGTAATAAGTAGTTTGCATTAATTATCACCAAACAGCCATATGGTGGCAGCATTTTTATTTATGGTTAATGCAGAGCAACATGTGGACTGACTTCCACTGAGAAGGTCCCTTGAACTGAAAGATTCACTGGTAGCAGCTTTCTAATATAAAAGACACTTAGATATTCACAGAAGACAACTAGAGATAAAAAAAAAATATATTATAAAAGCATTTAATACTTTTAAAAGGTTTCTATTTCATTATAGTTTCAAAGCTGCAAAAAAACCTGAATTCTACAACTATCACCTCCTTATTAGTAGTAAAAGAGACGTGAGGAGGAAATTCCTATAGTCTGCACTACTGTTACAGCCAACTGCACTCTTAATTTCAGATTGACAGGTAGCTCAAATTACACAGGGAACAGCTTAAGACCCACCTGGCATGAGGACAAAAAAGGACTTCTAAAATGGGAACACAAGGACTACTTTTTTCATACAGTTCTATAAGTAAGTAAATAAATGAAAAATATCCAAGTGCACTGAATTCTGACATCTGAATTCCCTTACCGTCCTTTACTGTTTCCTTGGTCAAGCTCCTTCCATAGTGTTGGTTTTGTGTCTCGTAGCTGTCTGAAGAGACATGGTACACCTGAAAGAGGCAAGGAGGAGGCCCCATAGGTATTTTGAAACATCAGTATTTCTGCAGAGCAAGAGAGACTCACAGACAGGCCACAAAACCCTGGGCACCGTTTACCCCTCGCAGTTTTTAAGTTTCTTGCAGTGGCCAGCACTGCCCTCTAGTGCTCTCCAAAACCCTCTCTACAGCCCTTGGGCTCCAAGCTACAGCAATGTAACCATCACAGGGAACTGTTTTATATGGCCCCTGCCTTCCAAATCAAAGATGAGACCTGAATCTATCACGCTCCCACACGTGTTACTGTGGATGTTAAATCAGTAAGACACAACAAGCAAAAATTTCAACGCAATTATTTTGAGTTCTTAGAACTATAAAACTATTAGCACAAGAGCGAAACAGAATTACCACCAAGGCCCAGCTTGCAAAACCCATCCAAAATTGTAATTGTCAGCACAAATGAGGTCGCATTGAATAAATGACAGCAGCTGAGCAAAAGCTGGGTTCCAGCCTTGACAGCAGTACATCAACTCTCATCTGAAAGGGAGGCAACTCACACAGGTACAGTTTTGTCCATATTGTACAAGCTTAAGAACTTAATTCAAAAATGTTTTATGTGTAGACAAGTTTTCTCTCTAACTGAAATTATTTCCATAGCAGAAACATGCCAGGCAGATAGGCCCAAGTATAATTTGTTTATGAGAGTGTAGACAATTCTTATTTGCCAAAATAATGGTGTTACCAAGCAGGCAGTTTTCTCTGGCAGGAACTTCATGCTTGGCACTTGTTCAGACCACCCAACTCCATGGCACCCATCCCGGCCACACCATTCCCTTCACCCCCCATAAAGAGAGGATCCCATGGAAAGCAAGTCAGGGCACACTGGTGAAGTGCCTGCTCCTGATCCCTCCCTTTGGGGGCTTGTCCTTGCTGTAGCCAACAAGTGAAGTCCAGGACAGTGAAACAGCAGCACGAAGAAAGGAGTGGTACAGGAACAATAAAGAAAGAAAACAGAATTCCCTGTTTTCATTGCAGCCCTTCACCTCAAAACCTCTCTCCCCATCCCAACCACAACAAATCCATTAATACACAGGTCCCCACCTCCTGCTTTGCAAAATAGCTGGGAAGAACTCTCAATAGCTCAAACAGCTCTTATTTTGACAAAAGGACAGAAGCAATTAAATTCAAAGTCCCCAAAGAACTTAAATCATAGTTTGTGGAAACTGATTTAAGTCACCAACCATGAAGCAAAGGGTCAGTAAATAATTCTGGTTATTCTAAAGAAATAAGAGCTGTAAGCCTGAATGTTTAAACTCACTCGGTAGCAGAGACACTTCCCACTGCTATGATCCCTATTTTCAGTGTTATGATATTTGGAGAAACTGAGGCCTCGATGTGTATGAACTGCAGAAAGCCATGAGATGCAGAAAGCAGAGATGAATTATTCTAAAACTGCATTTGACCAATGTGATTTTGGGTTCACAAAATCATTAATTTTTCTCCACTTAGGTTTTTCTGGTTTTTTTTCCAAAGCACATGAAAGAAGTACAGCATACTACACAGGAACTCAAAGATTACTTATGTTAACACTTCAGATACCAAAGTAACTTTCAGAAACATATGAGGAGTTTCAAAAACCTTTTAAAGAGCTACAAGTCAAAGGCAGTTAAATAAAAAATGAAGAAAAAAAATATTGTTTAGAAAGAGAATAAAGAGTCTGATGACAACATCTAAGTTCTCACTAGCTGTTTCCTGAGATTAAAATGAGTAAAATGAGATTAAACATTTTCATGTAGTCAGCCCAGAGGCAGCTTCCCACAGACATCAGCACTGCAGCAGTTCCTGACCAAATCATCTTGTTTACCAGGACCAGAACTTTATCTCTTCCCGTAGGAGCTACAGTTTTTGCGACATGGGCACTAGCTCAAAAATGCTGATTAAGATCTGCAAACTCATTTTGTTTTCCAGAGGAATGCTGAAGCAGTACCTCAGCCCCCGGGCTTCTGAGCTGGGTTTCCCAAGAAGTCACCCCACCTCTCCTCAAAATTTGCACAAAACCATTCCCCCAAATGTCTTTCTATATAGTTTACAAACACCCAGGCAGATGTGCATGTTTGGCACTAACAGTGCATTTTTAACTATACAAAATGGTCAGTGATAAAGTGCCGTGTCCCACACCCACACCACAAGTATTTATTTATGTATGTATTTAACTGCCTTATGCACTCAGAACACCCTCAGTCACCAGCAGGCTTGGCTGCAGACAGTGGTGTTAAAGGACAACGGATCTGGGGAATCACAAAAGTGTTCTCCATGTCAGCTAAAGAGCTGTCTCTTAACACCGCCTCGAGCCTTTGCTCAACTGCAGGGAAGAGTCTAGAAGAAACATTTCTGGAAAACCTCACTCAAATACAGATACATTAAAACCCCATTCTGAAAGCAAGGGAACAGAAACCCAAGCTCAAACAGAAATAATCTCTCACCAGTTCTTGCTCCACCCTCACCTGCCCCTCGAACACAAGGAGCAGCAGACTAATATCAACTTCCTATTAGACAGACCTCTTGCTTCACTGTGCTTTTGTTCACGCTGTCACCACTGCTAATCTGCTTTACTAACCCTTCCCAAAATGATATTTGTCTTTGAATCAAGCTTTTTCTGTATCCCTGTTGTTGCCGCTGTCTGTACCAGCCCATTTCTGTCAGAACGACGATAAGTCAGATCCTTACCAACAGCTAAGAAATTATTAGACAGGAAAATCTCATTTCTTATCCATATGCCACAGCTTGTTATGTGTTTGCTCTCTATTCACAGGGAGGCTCATTGCAGAGTGCAAGACAAAGAAAACTCTATGAGCTGCAAAACGCTGCCTCCTGCTTCATCAGTCATTTTTATATATTCTTAGTATGCGAGATCAGAGCTGTTCTGGCTGACAATGTGAAGGCTCCTCCTTGTGCCTACAAGCAGCTCCCACTGCACAAACAGCTCTGGAATCCAGTATGTTAACAGGTTCAGGATTTCAACTGGCAGTAGCAGTGACTCTGTATGGGCAGCACATCAAAAAACCCAGACCATTACCTGTTGAGGGAAATTATCTTTGGATGTTCTTAACCTGCACTTGGCTTTTGTTTCCCTGTGAGGTGTTGGATCATTGCTGCTTGCATGCCCACACAGCTTATTATACCCTTTTTTCAGTTACAAGTAGTTCATCTGATGTTCCTGGACTGATGAAAACCTTGAGTTAAAATAAAAAGTTGGTCCAGTGAGGTCTTTAAAAAAGGCACAACCCTCGCGAGGTCTCAGCAGAGATACACAGTTTGGAAACCTTGTGACTTCAGCTTTAGGATATTAAACTGAGGAAAATAGGTATCAAATGTCATGTAATGTTAATTATGATAATTCAGTACCAACTTCCATGGTGAGGCAGAAAAATATACACACTGTTCAAAACACTTAACTGTGGCAACTCCCTGACTTTCAGAAAGTACAATTTAAATACACATTAAGAGTATTGTTTCCTGTTTGGGGGAGATACTGCTAGCACAAATAAAAACCTCTATTCAGTAACTCGCAGAGCTGTTTCACATCTGCAAAAAATATCTACTAACCCACATTACTGAAAGTCAGGAAAATAACCCCAACCTGTTTTGAGCAGGCTTGTACAGCACTCCAGAGGGCACCTGCAGGAGTGAAGGCCAACTCAATGGCACACATGGCATGGACCTGTGTGCACTGTTGACATTCCCATGCACCAGCTGGTGCCCGGGAAGCAGCTTCCTGCAGAGCTCCTGACGTCCACCCCAACAGCAGCCTGGGATCTGCTGTCCTAAGCAAGGACACGGAGATTAGAGATCCGTGCTCTGATGCCATGGCATCCAGCCCTTCACTGGGCACCCACAGAGCTGCCCACCCCTCAGGTTTTTTCCATAAATACACCTAACAGTCACCCCTATGTTACACACGTACAGGTAGGAGGGAGCGAATGTTCAGACATTACACAGAGGTTTCTGTTTACAACAAAGCACCTCTACACTCCTGACTGGCACCTGAATGTCAGTCCCCAGCCTGCTGCCAAAACTGGAGCCAAGCTGAAAGCAAGAGGTAAGCAGGCTTACCCAGGCACATCTGCAGGGGGCACCTCCAGCACCAGGCCCAGACCCACGTACACCCCTGGCCACCCTCTGCCTGTACCTCTGCCTGTCCAAATATCAATACACAGGTTTCCTTCACGCCTGAGTGACCCCAGGTTCTCTGCAGGCCCCATAAACCTGCCACAGTGAAAGATCTGAACAGAGCTCCAACAAGCCTTGTTTTTTTTCTTTTCCGAAAACGGAAGTAAAGCAAGGATTTAAAGAAAAAATAACAAAAGGAAAATTTTTTTAAAAAAATACATTCTCTTATTTGATATCTCTGCTTTACAGTAATGTTGTCAACTATCACTGTTGCTGAGAGCATGCCCAGCTATCCAAAATTATTTATTTAAACAACACCTCCCATAATTTTGACTTTTGTTTTTTTGAACTTATGTTGTTGTTGCTAGACCACACATGACGAAAGTACACACATCCCATCCCTGATTGCTGCTGCCTTGAAAATTCAGCACAGGAAGGATGCATCCCTGCTCCCCTGTTTCCAAGACTATGCTTAGACAATAATCTGCCCATTCTGACATGTCTTTCATCATCTCAATGGCAATCAGTACCAAGAGGAAAAAATATATCCTTATAAAAAATACAAGATACCAAGTCCTTGTGTTAAACCACATAACAAAATCAGAGTGCTTCAAAGACTAAGTGTACCCCCAAATGCTCTGACAGTCAATATAACATTTTAGTGAAGTCCTTACATAAATAAGTTGTAGAATTGAAATTATGTCGAAATTTATTCAGTGAAAAAGCAGACTAACAATCTCCTAAATAAAAGAAACAACGACGCTGCAGTTCAATCATGAACCATCTTAAAAATAGCTTAATACAGAATTTTGGACTCCCAGAACTTCCATGAAGCATCTCATTAGAATACACTTCTTTCATGCGTCCTTTTCATTTAATAAAAAAATATCTGCTCTGGGGTTTGGAGGCGTTTTTTTCAGAGCTTTTGGCTAGTTTCTTTCAATTGCTATGGGTTTTTTGAGGTTTGTTGGTTGGGGGGTGGTTTGTTTGTTTGGCTTTTAGTTTTCGGTTTGCTTTGTCTTCCCGTTTTCTTAAACATCAAAGCTTGAATTAGACTTAAAAATGTAAAAAACCTAGTTCTGGTAATTTTTGACTGTGGAAGAATCTGAACACTAGATTTGGTATTTAGTATCTTTGTTACTCCTCCCTTCCTAAATCTTGCTATTCACAGATCAGAGCTTATGAAACTTGCCACAATACTAGAAAGAGTTCATGAAGAACTCATAAAGCAGACTCAGCTAGAGTCAGTTTGAAAACACCCTGCAGAAACATGTGCTGTAGATTAGGAAATTCACTTCTAAAACCAGCTTTGATTATTAAACTTTACTGCCTGCATGTTCATAGGTACAAACAATAGGGGTCAAGGATGGGTCATACTGCTTCAAAAAAGTGTTTCGGAAATATTATGGAATAGATTGCAATCAGGATCTTCTGGAAAAAAAGAAAACCTGCAGAAACTGGGAACTGTGGATTCCAAATGGACTGCGAATCTGAAATGAGAGCACAGCCCACACATTCTGCTTCTGCTCAACAGCATGCAGAATGCTCTGTATTTAACACTGCCCGTGCTGTGAAGAGATTTCTTATCTATATGTGTGTCTACTACTGAAACCATATTACAATTTGTGGTTTTGCTATTGCATCCAACTTATATTTAAACTCTCACTACTGCAATAACAAAACATGTCCAATCTCACAGAATCTCAGAATGGTCTGGTTTTGAAGGGACCTTAAAGACAATCCAGTTCCAATCCCCTGCCACGGGCAGGGACACCTTCCACCAGACCAGGCTGCCCTGTCCAACCTGGCCTTGGACATTTTCAGGGATGGGGCATCTGTTAAAGAAAGGAACCTCTCCACTAAACATGGGATTGTGGTTTTAGCCAATGTTATTTCAGTAACTTTATTTTCTAAATGCATTTCCATACATTTATTCTGTCTATGCAGTGTGTAAGAATAGCAGTTTAGCATGTCAAATGCCAGAACTGTGTACTATGTACTATGCTGTGCCAGACAGGAGACTCACTTTTTAAGGGCAAACCATACATATTTGATATATGAACAGATGATTGCTTATTTACCAGTGCATCAAAAAAAGCTGTATCAATAGCTTTTGAGACAAAAATACACTCTAAAAGTAAGTTTTGGGGTAAAACCCCCACCTGTAACACTTTTTGTTGTTTTTATCTCTTTATGACAACTTAGAGCACAGTTGCTCTAGAAAAACCATAGCTACATTCTGTTTCTCCCAGCCCTCTCTTTCCTGCCCTTCTAAAATAGAAACTTATGAGGCAAGCCCCTTCCATGTTAAAAATAACACTGAATGGACTAATTCCTGAATCATGTTACACCATGTTTTGTCCAGCAAACATGAGCAAACTTCATCCACCATGTGAGCTGTTCTGGGCAGTACATATCCATTCAGGAAAATGTTTTATAGTATGGCCAGAATCTTGCAAAAATAAAGCAAGCAGACAGGCCATAATCAAGAGGCAGAGAAACTGCCTTGTGAATTCAGACTTTGCCGAGTGTTGCATGAGGGGAGGAGGAACCTTTTCAATTCTCTTTGGAAAACAACTTCCAACATGCAATTTGGTGCCAGAGGCACAAAACCAAATCTCATCTAGTTAAACACTGGATGGAAAAATGCACTGCTTGGGGGAGTCATCAGTACACATCCAATCTGAATTAGGGGACTGAAAAAATTTCTGCAACAGGACAAAGATAAAAACAACTGACATGTTAGAAACAATAGTCACAAGCCTACCACGGAAGCAATCAATCATTTCTTTTGCACTGTCACAAAACAAAGGACATGAAGTACATTGTTTTACACATGAGATAAGAAAGGTTATGTAATGACACAAATCAAATCCAAAGCTATAATCTCTAACCTTCCTTTTCCATCCTAACTGTTTGGCTGTTTTTTGAGTCGACTCCCACGTTCTTGCTCACAGGCTTACATAATTACTACACATGACCACTATAATTTATAGCTGTAGCAGCTTATCTCAAGGCAGAGTTAAGGCTGGGAGCTTAGGCAATTCCACACAAAACATTACAGAGATATCAGAAATAGCTCAAACAATGGTGCAATCTGGTTGCTATTGAACAGCAAGGAGGAAGCTTATCAAAGTCTTCAGCCATTTATGCATCTTGATGCAGAGCTTTAGGACCCCTGGCTTTGTGTATGTGAGAAGGAAGACAAAAATCTCACATCAAAAAGAAAATTACTTCTGCACCAATCACAGTAGAAAAAAATACTTTTGGATTGCATCAGGAACTCAGTACTGACATCAACACGTCTGTTACTAAGCCACAAATGTTCTGTACAGCTTTTCTGTACAATGAAGTTTTAAAGTAGCCAATACACAAACACTGAATCTTAGTATTTCTAAGAGTAATTAAGAATTAGTGCAGACATCTGCAGGGCCTCATCCATGCCCAGCTAACCTTTCCTCACAGCTGTTCCTTGAGTGTGTAAGCATCAAAAGAGGTTTCCTCCTGATGGAAAGCTTTTTAAAATGTAGAACATAAGCAGCTGTTTATAGCTACATGCATCACCTCTGAGAGCTTACTTACTCTTCCCTAAATAGAAAAAATATGTAAAAAATATATTTATGAAAGAACATCAAGATGAAAAATGTGGAGAGGATACAGCTCATTATTAAATTATTAGAATGACTGGTTCAGTATGTAAACCTCTGATATAAGCCTAAAAGAAAAAAAAAACAAAACCACAAAAAAACCCTTGATAATTTTAAATACCTGCTGTGGTAGTGAAGTATTAATTGCAACTATATTCAGTTTTAAATACCCAGCCCCTCTCTTGTACACATATACAGTGCCCAGGCTGCAAATAGCTTCCTGTAAGGGACCCGGCCAAGTTAAACACTTGTTGGGAACCAGGGCAGTGTTTTGGAACAGATTTCACACAACAGTTAATACCAGTACTCCCAACACATTCAGATAATGCTTCATTTACGTAAAACACAGGAGGACTGTCCTTTGCTAGGAAAACCAGCCCCTGTACCTGGTGCAGAACAAGATGCCTGAGCACAAGCTGAAACTGAAGACAAAACAAGTTCTTACCCTCATGCCGAGCACCAAAAAGCCAATCTCTTCCATCAGCGGGTACTTGCTGACCTGCTGCTGTATCTTCTCCACCGAAGCATAGGGATCATAACTTTTCTGACCTATTTTTACATCCATTATGCAAGGCTTATTAAACTTACGGGTCACGTCTTCCAGTTTTAGATACGTATCTGTCAAAAAAACCAAAACTTTTGTAAACAATGGGTCAGAGCAAAATAATTGCACAGCTTTAGCCAAGCTCCTTTGGAGGAAGCTGAACAGTTTAAGACTTAACATCATTTAAGTTTTTTAAGAGTCGAATTTGTCTCCAAACACTGACACCCACAAATTCTGTTCGTATGAAATTCTAAATGCTTTATTGTTTAGAAAATTGTATACAATTAACTTATGCTAACCTAGCATTTAAATTCAAATTATTGCCCGGATAAAAATCAGTGAGTAGCTTTTATTAGTTCAGTAACATATCTCAAAGAGCTTTACTAAGCACATTCAAATGCAGGTTACTGCAGGGATGGTTTTGCAATGCAGACAGTGTTTACTGTCATTTTAAAAACCAAGTGAACATTTAGTCCTACCCTTCAGGGGCTGAAGTGCAGCTCATTTTGCTTCTTTTTATCCCACTCCCATCTGTACTCATTTCTCATGGTACATCTTTTGGGGAGAAAACTCTTCAAATCCTTTAAATGAATGCCTTTCTGACAGTCCCTTTGGGAGGGTGGCTGGACCAAAAAACCCCAAAAGTACTTGGAGTGCCTGAAGATTTAAAGGGGTATCTAAAACCTCATGAAAATGGCTTATGCTTTCCTCCAGGGCAGGTAAGAGGCTATTACCAGCATGACCCCCAGCACTGACTGTCAGAACACAAGGAAATGAACTTCAGTAACTCCCTGGTTCGACTCTGCTTGGGAGATGCCTGCACCCATCTCCAGCCCTTGCCAGGACACCAGGACATGGCATGCACCAAGACAATACACAGCCTGAACACAGGTCTCATTCTTTATATCTGCTTCTTCAAATCCACCTGTCACCAAGCACAAACTTAAAGTCTGGTTTTCTTTCTAGTACAGTCTATTCCGTGCATGTATTTATTTGACTTAATGTAGCCCAAATACATAAACATTGCATTATTCCCCATTCCTGCAGCATGATCTAAAATGAAATTGCCAAAGAAAGCAAAACCAGTTCAAATTTAAAAAGAGCAAAGGCACAAAGTGTTTTGTTGGAAAGCTGTACAGACAGGTAACAAAACCAGTCGGGGTCAAGACAAAGTGAACAAGCAACGTTTCATTTCCCCTAATAAGAAGAAACACTTTCTTAAGAAAAAGAAATTACACGGACTTTTATTACTTTAAGGCCTATGGAGAGCTTCAATTTTTACACCATCATGATCACCATCATGAAATGTCCCAATTTACACCATCATGAAATGTTCCAATTTCCCAAAGTGTGTATTTATCGATCTGAAATAGGTTTAATTTAAGCCTTAGATGCCTGCTTTATGTATGAATGGAACCAGGCATCTTGTCAAGGGAAAGTCATTCTCAGGAAAACCTGTCAAATCAATACACTATTTAAAAAAAAGAATCCGCTTTTCTACTAACTCACTGTATCAGCTTTCAATTTGCATTGGGCTGCAGGATCTACAGCAAAAGGAGTTTCATTTTAGACTAGCTCACCCACTAACGACAACTGCAGAATACATCCAAGCTTAAATAACTTGTAGTTAATTTTGAGGAGCCCCAGGCAGCAAACATGCTTGGTATTTGCTCAGTGAATATCCCCAAGGAAGAAGCAGGACAAATACTCTCCACACCAGGCAGTGTATTCTGTATCAGGCAGGTGCCACTTTTACTACTTGCCGTTGTCATACAGAGGGGTCTAATTCAGTCAGATATCAGCAAGGCTTTTGTGGGACTTTGGGGAACCACCACCAAAACCTGGGGAGTCCATAAAACCTGTTAGCTACCTGTTATTAAAAACTGTAAAAATCTGTCATCCTTCACACCAATCCTTTTCGCATACTACAGAAATCACCGAAAATGACAGATTTGTGTCACCATTCTAAAACTAAATGAAGTTCAAATATTTTCAGTACTTAGCTCTCAAAAAGCACAGAGCCACAGGTTTGCCATGGGAGGTGAAGAAAGACAGTAAACACAAAAATATCTTAAAAAAGGGCTGCAGTCCTTCACCACCAACCCCAAAATGCTTTGGATCGTGTTGTGAGCACTCTGGACTCAAAACTGTTACAAATACGAAATTATACAAATTGCAAGTTACCACAAATGATACAAATGATTTAGATAAAATGTTTTCATCAGCTCTAAAATATAACCATATAGATAGTAGTGTAAAACATCTATTTCCATGAGCACCCATGGGTATCTGCTGTCCACTACTCCACTGGTCTAATTCCCTCTTTTTAACCATACAGTGCCAACGTTCAGCACCTCTCAAATATTTAAAAGTCCTAAATATCTGTCACCCCTTAGTTCCCTATTCATTTCAGATTTGTTAAACTAGACCTCCTAAAAATGTAACAATAGCTATTTTTAAAAAATCAAGCATTAAAATAACTCCATAGCTAATACTAACCCTGGGAAATACTAATTATTTGGCAAAGCCTGTGAATTATCCAGAAATTACTCATCTCTCTCACACTTTTTGGAATTATTTAAGTCCTTCTCATTAGGTAACTGCTAGCTCAGAATTAGGACTTTTACATTTGTTCAATACACATCTCTGCTCACACAAAGCTGTCTGGCCTTGTGGGCAGAGCAATGCCACCCCGGATAAAGCATCATAACGAGTTATTTTTCCCTCATCACAGCTTCAGAAAAACAGATCAAGTGTTTACACTGGTTTGTTGGCAATATTTTGGTGCTTAGTTGCACTGTATTCAACAGCCTAATGAAACAGCTCCCAAACCCACAGTATCAGAACACACAACACTCTCACTTCCAGCAGTGACCACTGTGGTATCTCCAAGCACCAAGACCAAGGCAAACGAAGTAAAGCTTCAGGTATCACTGCTCTACCTTTTCAAGTCACTGGGAGTCTCTGAGGCTCTGACCCTAAGTGTCCTTCTCAAGGGCATCACTGAGTCTGAACCTGAGCCCAAGTAACTAGGGTGCTCTCTTCCTCTTCTTGTTTTGTTAAACAACAACCTGCAGATTTTTCAAGCAATTAATTAATTAATTTCTAAATTATTACATAGTGCCCTGCTAACCCAGTGTACTTCTGGAAGTCATGCATTCGCCATCTAAATTCAGATGAAATTAAAAAACCTCAAAGAGAGAAGAATTCGTAACGATTTCTGTATCTTGCTTTGCTAGCAGTAGTCCTGACCATACATTATGAGGATTTAAATAAATCATTCATCACAGACTCGCCCTGTCACGGGTGACAGCGGGTCTGTCGGCACCTTGGCACATACTGACGAAGCAATAGATGTTGACCAGATCAAAGTATACCCCTGAGATGGACTGAAAAGAGAGGACTGAAAATGGAGGCCCTGATCCTGACAACATACTGATGCATCCTGAAGAAGCTGTCCCGTGGGAACAGAGAACACTGTCTCATGAGAACAGGAGCACTGTCTCATGAGAACAAGGACCTGTTTTGAACGAGAGTGGTTGGGAAAAACATCAACATGAGAGAAAAATAAGAGCAGGTGCTCGGGACTGTTGTGGGAAAGAACTGGGCTGTTTTGAGAAAGAGCAAAGTTGTTGTGAGAAAGTAGAGTTTAGAAAATGCACCTATTAGCTGTAAGAATTCTGGTGTGAAAGTTTGAACTGTCCTATCCATGTGCATTACGTGTGTTCAAAAACTGTACTTAAGGGGCTGCGCAGCAGCCCCGCTGTCCCTGCTTTTTTCTTGGAATAAACTTTGCTGGAACCTTTTTTCGTGTCGCTTTGGCCGTTCCGACATTATCAGCGACATCGCCCTGCCCACTTCTATTCACTAGTGGTAGGAAGATGTGCCTTGACATATTATTTACATATTTTATTACAGTTCCAAAGGAGACAAACCAAAAGACCACCAAAACATGCCAGTGTATTCAGTACACACTGCAGACAGAAGTGACAAAATCACTTCAGGCATCTGATTCCTTTTCATAACTTAGAAGACATCTCTCAAAACATAGAAATAAGCAGAGAAAAGCCTCAACTGCCCACAATAACAAATGAAGAAAGATTTGAAACTGGGTTATACTTATCTACCCTATTCTTAAGTTAGGCAACCAAATTAGACAATGGTATGAAGTGAGCAGCAGTAGAGTCACTTAAAAAAAATATAAATAAAAGCATGGGCAACAAGTAAGTAGCCAAACCCAAAAAACTCGGCAGCAGATGGCTCCTACATCTTTATAACTACTTTTCCACTTCTTTGTGAATAAACTCCAAAAGCCCACAATGCCAGAGAAGATAAAGTTCAAATCCAGTCAATTTTAGATGAGCTTAAGGAGACAGAATCTCACCCACCTCTACCTCCATTTCCTTTGCAGTAGCACTGGGTATGTGATTTCAGCAGAACAGGACAGTGTTTTTACGAATTGTATTGATACTGGGAGTTCATCTTTTCCATCATACTTTTTACATTTTCATTTACATTTCATACATTTCACTCTTTTTAGATAGCTATTTAATCCACTTAGCTACCTTTTCAGCATAGAAGACTGACAGTTCTTCCTAAATATTTCTGTAAGGAAACAAATTCCTTGTGTTCTTCACCTTACCCACTGCAGTTCCTGCTTACTTGTCACATGGAAACTCACATGAGAGAGGGTCACAAATCAAGTTCAGAGTGGTCCTAAATTAAGTTTTGTTTTTTCAGAAGTCACCTATGTCCCTATTAGCAACAACAGGGAATTACTGGGTTCATGGCTCAGAGGTTGTACGGAGCTGTGTCCCCAGAGCCTGTAGAACAGCGATTGCCAATGGAAAGGTCAGGCTTCCAATGTCAGGACTGCAAAAAACCTACAAATATATCCTTAATCTACAATTAAGAACGAGATACACATGCATTCTGCTAAGCTTCATCATCTCCAGCATCTGTGATTTCTATCAAGACTACACAAAGCTCATTAATACTACAGATAACAGAGTTGGCAGTGCAGTGTTTTGGTTGAACCACTGCCATAGCTTTCTATGAAGAGGGCTCCTGTTAGTGCACAGTCTTTCCAAGAAGAAAAACAAACAAAATCAAAAGTTACTCTTCCTTTAAGCCATTATTCCTATGTCTGGATGACTGGTGGAGACCTGCCAAAATTCAGTCCCATGGTGCAGAGTGCTAGTGAATTCCCAAAGCAAATGAGGGTTGTGTTGAATTACTATATCTTGGCTAGATTTTTATTTTTATTTTTACATCTTAAGATCACACTGCAAATAGAAAAAAACTATTTGCAGTTGGAAGGGGATGGATATTAAGTGGGCCCCATGACACACAGAACACTGTGAGGGAAGGAAAAATATAGCTCTGGTAGAGTTATTTGAGTTAGTGCCAAACAGGAAAGCATGAAAGCAAATCTGAGCCAAGAAAGTGGCAGTATTACCACAATCTTCCTTGGATTTCTTCTTGCAGAGATTAGGCCATGTCTTTGGACTCTGTCTCACTACTGTCTTTGGAAAACAAGTCTATCAAGTGACAGCATAAGCAAAAGAAGACGGAGTTATTTTAAAGGAGTACAGCATCTAGTTTTGGTGCCCATGTATTTCAATAGACTCGACAGCATCCCTTTGCTTCGGTATGTTCCAGAAGCTCTATCTCCCCAGTGTGAATAAGAAAAGTCCCCAGAAGAAAAGCTAGTTTCTGTTTTAAATACAACAATAATACCTATTTTCCCTTGAAGAGACAATCTTCCAGTTGCTCTACCAAAATACCTTTTTCTTCCTGACTCCCAATGTTAGACGAACACAAAATTTAAGACGCCAGATCTTTGTTCCGTTCAAACCAATGACAGAGGATGACAAGTGGAGCTCACCAGCATGGTACCTGCTGGAATAACTGTTTTGTGTGAAAAGGCATGATGATGATGGGATCCAACCTCTGGAGATCCAGCAGCAGATTCCAGTTTGAATGCTTCCATTTCAGCCCCAGCCTATCCGCCTTTCCTTCCTTCCACACCCACAAGGTGCCTGCCTCTTGCTCTGATGGCCTGACTGGACATAGCCATGAAACCAGCCCACTCCTCCAACACAACACAAACCAAACCAGCAGCTCTGAGGCAACATGAATCAGGCCCAGCTACTCAGGAAACCTTTGGTGTACAAACAGCCGTGCCCCATCTTCCCTGGGAGGAAGACCCCAAAGACCTAATCCAGCCCCAGGACTGCAAACTGAAACCAGCTGTCAGAGGGAACATTAGTGGGTTACAAAACAAGACCAATAAAAAAAACCTACGGAGCTCACAACTGCCAAAGATCAGTCTCCAGAAAATATTTCCAGAACGCATGGATTAACAGATAAAATTAGAACAGTACCATTTGGTGCAGTAGGTGGTGACCAGACACCGAAGTATTTTGGCAGATATTTCCGCAGCTCCAGAAGAATGCTGTCACAACAGTCAGGGTCATAAACCTGAAATAAATTAGGGAGGGTTGGAAAGATCATCACTTTAAAAACATTCATTTTATACTTCCGATTGCCCCATAGTTATACTTTCTTACAGTCTTTGTTTTCATAAGTTTAAGATTTCTACTGTACATTTAAAAAACATACAAGATAAGGATGATAATTATCACAGTCCAACATAAAGAAGTAGCATCCTTTCTTTCAAATTTTGAAGTGGAAAAGATACATCAACTCCAAGAATAATTTATGGCTTAACTTGAATAAAAATCTAAACTATAATTGTTAACTTCAAAGCCAATTTAGTGAAAAGGGTGTTCTCGCATCCTGGATGTGAGACTGTATAGGATTACTGCATTGTATCATATATCCAAAGCTTTTTAAATTATATCAGGTAAAGTACATAGGCTCAGACTAGATAGTATTTTCTTGTCTCCTCCAAAACAATTCATGCTGTAGCTACATCACACAGATTATACACAATTCGAATATATTTCTTTTCATTTAACGCTTTCAACATTTTTTTTAACTTCTGTAGGAAAAACACGAACAGTTTGGAAATAGCAGCTGGTTTATATTCCTGAAGGAACAATTCTTTGCAGAGTGAAAACAAAGCCTATGGAATCACATGACTGTCGCCAGTTTGTGGTTTCAAAACCATTCCCTTGCCCAGATTCACTCCCACCCCACCCAAAGATGTAGTTGCAGACATAGGGGATTGCCTATAGGTTTCCATGTGCTTTGCGGACTAAATGATCTATATCCACTCCAGGACAGGTTACAATGACAGTTACTGCCTTTAGGAGCCATCTCATCCCAATCCCCCTACAGTTCTCCTAGCTGTGATGCCATCAGAGTACTGTCCTGCCCCTCAGCCCCACAGTGGTTGCACAGCAATACCCATGGATGCTGCACAGGTTGCTAAAGGTTCTGCTTTCACTTCAGTGCAGCCAGAGCCCACTGCAAAGTCAGAAGCAAGGCAAAAAAAGTCAAGTGTTAACAGCTCTGCAGAGTTGGCTCAGCTCACCGTGTCAGACCACATTTAACCTCAGTAGGGGAATACCTTGTGATGGCAACTCCAATGGGGAGGTATTGCAAAATACATGCCTATGTTGTTGTAATGTTTATACAACTAGGGAGGAAAAAAAAACAAACCTGAAGTCCAGCTGCAATTTTTGAGAATCAAGGCAAGCCTCGGCTATCCTCACCAGTGCCAGGTAACTCTAGACAGAACCTCATGCAGCAGCAGTTAACTAAATAAGTTAATATTAACTAAATAAGTTAATATGCGTTTGTGCTAAATTCAGGTTTCATTGCAGAAACCTCAAACTCAAATCACCTGTGTGTTACTGACACAGGGGCTGCTCCACAGCTCACACGGGGTTCTCCTGGGCTTGCACCAGCCACAATTCTGACACCTTCATGCCAGCACCATTACTGGGCAGCGACCAAAAACACGATAAACCCAAATCCACGCCGACTGCACGCCAGGGTAATGAATTTGACCTGTTCCTTCAACTAGTTCATGGTATATGCCCCATTTTCAAGATCCTAAGGGAAGGGGCTGAAACCTCAAAGCTCAAACCACAAGAGTAATGTGCACAGCGTGTTGCAAAACGTTGGCATACACCCCCCGCCGCACCCTCTGCCACCACTGTTGCTATCTTAAGCATACAGAGGTTGCTGGGTGCGTATCTTACAAGTCACAGTCACATCACAGGGCACTGATCTCTCTTCACACGTCATGATTCAACAAGCTGGCATGACCTCTGAGGATGACACATAATTGTACATCTAGGCCCAGTTTCCCTCCATGTTAACACAAGCTGATATACGCTGGTATATTGTGCTCTAAGACAAAAAGCCTTGCTTGCTCCCAGGATCAGTGCCTGCTGTGTATTTATGCAACATTTCTTCCCCGAGCCTCAGGCATCGCCAGCGGAAGACAGCGCTTTCTCCAGAAGAGAGATCTTACTAGTTTAAGTAAGAAAAAAAGAAGTTAAGGGTGGGAGAGAACAGAGAGGAAGATTAGCACCAGGCAGATGCTGAGGCACAGACCAGACTGCTGCTCTCTTTTATAAGAGTTTAGTGTTCCCCACTGTACAGACAGCTGTTCCTGGGCCAGGATTCCAAGCACTGACAGGTGGCATTACTTCATGCTGTAAGCATTTTGAGACCAACAGTACAAACCCAGTTTTTGTTTACTGTGGTAGTTTACGATCACAGCACTTCACAGCCAAGGTAGGGACCCGCGTTGGCCCAGCACAAATGCTCTTTTCCCAGGTGAATTTAAGCAGATCTGAGAGGCAGTGACCATCATGCAGTGTCACAGCCCTTACACGTGAGCAAGTACATATATTTAGGTCATGACCAAGAGGAGAGAGATGGAAACCAAAAGTGCAGCAGACAAGGAGAAGAAACACTGAATGCAACTGAAAAAACAGGCAAACATGGTAACTCAATTACTTAATCTATTGGCAAAAGATTCTGAGAAAGTGAAATGTCAGGAAACCACTTCTCTTTTTTAAAGAGACAGTACCTTTGACTTACTTTTTATCATCAACTTTAGGCAATTGAACTTAGCAACTAAGCAAGTAATTATGAGTATACTCCTGTGTATTCCAAACATCAGGATACAACAAAGATAGTCAGATAATTTATAATGGGGTGTTCTAGCCCAAAGTCAAGGCCAAATGAAGAAAAGAGCTCCAGAAGCCATGTCTTCCAAGTAGTCCATTCCTTAATATAGTGATATATGACATTTTAAATGGAGACAGAACTCCCAAGTAATGCATTTTTCAGTATCATTACTGATATAACAGAACTAAGTGCATTACTTCTGTCTCTCAAGAAGCTGTCTCGCTCCCAGAACCGGTAATAAACTCCCTTCATAAGTCTGACCTAACGTATACAAAGCACTTATATAATATGGAGACTTCTATATTATATAAACCTTAAGATAAACTTCAATCTTAGCCTGTAATGTATTGGCATGTCACACAAGAATAAGCATTTACTCTGAATAAAGATTAGAGGAAGTCACTCGGTGTAGGCAAAGCTACAAACCCAGACATTTCAGGAATTATGCAGGACATTAGAGCAGGGCCTCGTAAGCAGCACACGTGTCATGGGCTTTTCTTCTCAGTTCATACCACCTGTTAGCAAGCTATACACTTAGATGTCAATCAGAACGCCAAATACAGATGTATACATAACAACATCATCCCTAAGACTACATGAGAAATAAACAGTGTACCTCATACACCAAAAGGAGTTGCTACCAGTACTGTTGGAAGACTCATGAAAAACGCAGGTTATCACTTACCCCACAACAACTTTTATAAATAAACCATTAAATTTTTACTCACATCAGCAATATTCCACTTTCAGCAATATTTCACTTTCAGCAATAATGTTTTTTTTCTTTTTAATGCAACAATAGTTCCATTCCTCCAGCATATACTGACAAATAGAAGCAATTTCTCCACTACCAGTACATAATGTCTTCAACAAATTGAGAACTGCGAAATAATTCTGCCAGCTCATCTTCTATGTATCATAGGCTACATTCCTCTGATAGCACAAGCTGGAGACAGAAAATGTAGTAACTGCTGGACTTAAAAGCAAGTAAACAGGATGATGACATTTGGAGGGCTCACAACATCACCACTGCAAATTACAGTCACTAACTCATAGGAAGAATACACCCCACACATGTCCTGTGGCAGCTCAGATAGTCTAACAGACCTCGTGAAGTCATAATTTCCAGTCACTCAGGACTTTTTAATTCCGAGGCAAATTTACCATCCCTAAGTTTTTAATCCAAAGTACACTCTGCTTTGGTGTGTTTCAAACAGATTCATCTGTTTTTTAATGCAAACAGGGGCAGCTTGGAACCACGGGAATGTTCTTTTTTCTTATTTAATGCAACATGACATTTGGGGTTTTTTTGTTTTCTAAAGACTAGCTAATGACATGAACGACAGAGGGAGGGTAAAATAAATGTTTAAACTTCAGTAGGAAACTAGTTCTGGCAGTACAGACCTGTCTTAAATTGTTCTGATGAAAAGAATACCACTTTGACAGGAAAGTAATCTGTAGAGAATCTTCTGAAGTATTCAAGAGTTAATTTAAAAGAATATATATATTTTTTAAACTCACATTTATTGTAAAGCTATTTGAGTAGGAAACTTTAAATGCCAGAGTGGGCATATCAGTCTGAACCATCACCTTCCTCTGCTGCCAGCTATCATAAACTATCCCAAAAGGTAGCAGCACTACAGCCTGTGGTCTCAGGATACACAACCAGCTGCCAACATCAGGCAGACAGTTCAGTGTCCAGTGTGGTTTTTTCGGGGTTTTACGAGCAGTCAATGCAGCTAAGTCATGCGCTTAAATTAGCAAATGCAAGATTTACAGGTGACAGTGCAAGCTTAATTCCCTCTCCCAGTGGGTATGTATTATATCACAGATTTTAATTACTTGAGCGCACACCACATTTCCCTCTGGACTCCTATCTCACCCAGTTACACCAAGCAAGTGCAAGGGTCAAAAAACTGAGGTTGAAACAGCACCTGTGATTTTAGCAATTCGTATCTGCTTGGCTTTACAGCTCAGACAGCCCTGGCTTCTTTTCAAAGTGGTACCATCAGGGCCTGACTCGCGAGTGTCCACAGTATTTGTTTCCATAAATATGACTGGCACTGAGCCAGCTCTGCTTATATTGAAAATACCAGAATAATTTCAAAAGTTAAGTATTTGTGAGTGATGTCATATTAAATGCTATTATATCAAACTGTTTATTTTACTGTCCAATATACAGGCATACCAATGAGATTGCAATCATTCTCAATGAAGATACCTACAGAAAGAAAGAAAGTTTAGAACAAAGCAGGATCTATTCCTACAATCTGACCACAAAAATGGATTTTCGAATAAAGACGGCACACACTTGTGACAATCATGCCCTTCTTCCAGGAGTCAGGGAAAAAACCTACATTATAGCAAGG